GGAATCCTAATATAAATAATCTAAATATTATTTAAATAATATACGGAAACCTACGGGTAATTCTCGTAGTACGCGGTTCAGGCTGATCTAACGAACGGATAATACCGGACCTAATTGATCCTTGCTCAGGTGAAACACGAGTACCTTCATAAAATATTTTATTGAATAAATCCTTGACCAAATCTCATTTAAATAATCAAAATATTAAAATATTTAGCCTTTTGGGTTTACAAGCTCGATTCGGGAATTTCGGGTCAGAATTTGGCAAAACGGACTTCGGAATCAAATTCAGGACGTCGAAAAACATAAAGTATGACCTTCCGAAATTTCGAATTCTTGGTCAAAAATAAAGTCAACGGGTTTGACTGACGATATGGAGACTTTCGAGTTTGAATTTAGTAAAACGGACCCCAAAAATGGATTCGGGACGTCGAAAACTATCATGATAGGTATTTGTGGTCGAAAAAAAAAGGTCGTTTAATAGCCGGTCAAAGCTGGTCAAAGTTCTGGTCAAAGGCGGTCAACAAACTGTCAAACATTTTACACAAATAGCACCCTTTTTAAAATAATTACCAATATAGCACCCTTTTCGAATTAATTCCCAAAATAGCACCAAAACCAAATTAATTCCCAGAATAGCACCAGTCAACGGTCGGGTCGGGTCAACGGGTAGGGTCGGGTCAACGGGTCGGGTCGTGACCGGTTAAACCGGTCAAAACCGGTTAAACCGGTCAAAACCAGTTTCCAGCGTTCACTCGCCTACGGCGGCGCGTGTGGCGCGTGCGACGTCCTCCGGGGCTCTAAAAATCACGGAAAAATTTCTAAAAATTATTTTGAGCAATTTCGAGATACTTACTAAGATCGGTTCAAATTTTTGAACGGCGGAGAGCTCGATTTCGACTCGGCCGAATCTTTGACTGATCCACCTCCCCACGCGCTGTCGTCAACGGAGATCGAGTATGACACCGGCGGACTCGGAACGGCACAAGGAACACGATGGTGCGGGAGGTGTCGTAAACGGAGTAGCGATCGACGATGAATTTAGGATTTTAGGCGATTGAGCTTTAAAAAAACGTCGATGCTTTGACTTGAAATTCACGGTGTTTGGCAGCGTTTCGCTTCAATTAAATTGAGGGGATTGTTCCTGACTCGATAACGAACACGATGGTACTTTCAAAACGACGATCGGAATTCGGACGGTGTCGGAATCGTCGTCGGAAGTTGAGGTAAGGAAATGGAAATTTGGGAGGAATTGGGTTCTGATTTTCAGAACCCAATTCACGCATATATCATATATATATAAACCAAATACCTAACTTTTTTGGGTAAATTCAGGGCTTGGTTCCTGAATTTTCTTTAACTCTAAAACAAGCTACAAGTTTTAAAATCTTTCAGTTTAGTCCCTAAAAATTACCAATTTTAACAATTAAATCTTCAATTCCATTTAACTATTATTTTGATATTATCGGGTTGTTACACAACATCCCCCCCAATTTCTTCTCTATGGACGAATGTTTCATGTCACCTAAGGGGGACTTTTTGTTCAATTTCATGCATGAATTCAACCTCCTATGATCAAATTCATGCATTTCAATAATCACAACATCAAATTGAATCAAAATCTCATCATTCTTACAAACCCTAACATGAACAAACCTTATATACACATGTACAATTAATTTTAATCATTATACATGCTTTAAAAATAATGACCAACATAAAAAACATAAAATTCCTTCATCAATTCTTCAAGATCACCAAACCCTCCTTAAACCCTAATAATCAAATCTCAACACACAAATATCCTCACCATGCAATATTTATATCAATTGATAGAGAATTTCATGTACATTAATTCTTTATCTAATAGCTTAGTCCAAAAACTAATCATGTAACTTGAAAACCCAAAATAAAATTCTTACCTTAGGAGAGCTTGTAGTTTCGCCCAAGAGAAAAAATGAAGCTAAAATATGCTAATTGTCTTGATTATTCTAGTATTTAATGAATCATACACATGTCATTTATCTAATTTAATTGAATTTAAAATTCAATTAATGAGAAATTGCAAAATCTAACATTAATGAATATTGAAAATTATCAAATGTCATTGTATTATCTTCCAATAAAATATTCATTGGTCAAATATAAATCAACTTGACTTTGACTTTCTAATTTGGCATGCAATTTTTGGAAATTTCATTTTAGTCACTAAAATTCCACAGTTCAGTCAAATATGAAACATTACACTGTTCTGAGCCAAATTTCTCTGATATAAAATATCGAAATAATATTTCCAACCATTTTCTAATATCTTCAAATTTTCATGAAATTACGGTTCGATCCGATTTTCAGATTTCAATACCGAACTTTATCGCTTTATAGCCTTTAACATAAATCCCTTACTAAAAGTCTAATTCCTACGAAAATTCTTGTTTTAGGCCAAATTGTTCATTTAAAGGAATTAAAAATTATATTTTTAGTCCCTAAACTTTTCAAAGTATCAACCAAACTTTCAAAACTTACATTTGAGTCACTAGACAAATTTTGATTTTACAATGAAATCAAGAAGAAAAATGGGAATCAAACCATACGTAGACATTGATCAAATCCACATAACTATAGTTACTAAGACCACCAATTTTAAGGATCATGCTTCTTTGATTTATTTATTTATTATTAAGAAATTACCAACAACGACTGATTATAAATCAATTTTCTTGCTATTAGCCTGGACGTATCTGCAACAGTAGTAATATCTATTACATAAAAGCAAATCCAACAACAAAAGATGACCATGTAACTAAAATTAAAGCATAGAAGATGTTAAACTTATTTGATAGCTCATGATTCATAATTTCAACTAATAGAAGGTCCAAAACGTTATTATAAGAAAAAGAAAAACGAGCATAAGAAAGTAGAAAAATTGAAAGAAAACACATAAACAAATCAAACAACCCGTTAATGCTTTTATTATCTATTAATAATTTTATTATCAAAACAAATCCATTAATAATTGGAAACAATATGAACACATAAACAAAAAATTTGATCAATTTAAAGAATGACAACCAAAATTCAAAATGCACCAACATATATAAAAATAATATAAAATATACTTATATGAGAATGTGGAATATTGTCGTGGTTGAAAATCTAATCTTTATCATTTAAGATTTTGAATGAAGAATTGTGGATGATGATTTAATTCTTCAATGTAACTAAATTATTGATTCTTAGCAAGTCGTAATTAATAACGTGTTATAAAATAATCTAAACGAAGCATTACAAAGAACATGAATAAGAAGAGATATAAGAATAAAGGGAGAGAACTGTATTATTATCTCAATATGAGTTGTGTACAATTCTTTCTCTAAACTTCATATGTGTATATATATATATATATAAACATAAGAGTAGATATCATATAAAACTCAAACTCTAATGGATATTAAAGTTCTAATAATAAAGTATATCAAAACATTATTTTATAGATAGATACAGAGATAAAAATAGACATCCACATAAATAAATATTCATAACAAATTTTTAATTTTTAAAACTTTCACATATTTGAAAACAATGAGTTCAAACATTATTACTACTTTTTACAAGGATAAAATGATGCACGATACGGTCAAAAATTCAGAAAAGAATGAAAGGATTATAAATCAAATTTGAATTTGAATTTCAATTTCTAATTATCAAGATAACGTATAATCAATTAATGGTCCCCATCAGAGTCATAAGTTGTCAGAACGGTCCTTAGACTTGATGGTTCTCGACTAATTCTTTGAAAAAAAAGGTATGCGTGAGTGTACAAATTTGTTTGAAAACTCGATTTTAAAATATTTGCAGTTGTCATGAATCATTTAAAATCAGTCATTTGAAGTTAATAGGGTTGAATACCTATAGAATCTTCTTTTTAGTATAAATTTTTTAAAATCTCTAAGTAGATACGATTGAATACCTATAAAATCGTCTTTTTAATATATTTTTTTAAAATCTCTTTTCGAGAGCCAATTATATGCGGAGAAAGGTGAACACTGCATAACACCTATAATTGATACCTAATCGATTATATATTGTCTAAATATTATAAACTTAAATTTAAATTTAAAGTATGACCTGTTCATTTATCTGAATTTATTTTTATCAAGTGAACTATATAAAAAATAATTCCAGAAATAACTTGATTCACTCAATTTTTATTTTTCTAAAAGGATGTCCTTTTATTTCGAAAAACGGCGACATTCATGAGGTTAATGTTAATCCATGCTTGATTTGATTTCAATGGGAACCGGGAAGAGATGAGAGGGCATTTGCCAGGTATGGTTGATATGAAGAAATTCCTGCTGATTACTCGCACATAATCTGATAGCTCCTCCTGGAGTGGAGATTATTGATTATATGGAAACGCCATCAAGATTACCACCATGGATTAGTGAAGAGAGACTCCGGGATTTTGCATACAAGTTTCAGGAATCTGGCTTCACTGGAGCTTTAAATTACTACCTTTCTATGGACTTAGGATCATTAGTCTGAAATGGATGACTTCTTCCATACAAGTTCTGTTCCTGGCGGTGCTAATTTTCAAATTGGTAAAACAGGAACCGGGAGCTTACCACACTCCGGTAAGGATAAAAAATCACTGCTCCCGTGAAATTCATGGTGGGTGAGAATAATCTGGGGTTTCGATACCAATGGTACAAGGAAATGTTTTCAGGAGCCTTGTTCCCAACCTGGAAGTAGTTATTCAGACCTTATTCCCTAAACCTTAAACCCTACAAATCGAACAAACTTCATTCAGACTTTAATTCTAAGCATGTTGTCATCAAAATAGTTGGAATAATGCTGTTAACATTATACGAGATCTAGCTTTGTTCAAGGATACAAGCTTGTTCATGGCAGTAAATAATCAATGAAATCCATTTTTTTTGGGGGGGGGGGGCAGGCACCGGAAGAATTCTTTATAAAATGAATCTATTGTCAAAGCTCTAGAACAGCTGGTTTAGAATAAAAAATTTTAGTGATGATCAATGAAAATGAGAATTCAGCAGCAAAGCATATCAGTTTTTTTTTCCTGGACGTTCTGCTTTATCAAGAATCCCCAAATTGATCCCCCTTCACCTGACCGTAAGCATCATACATCAAAATCAGTTACTCTGCATTTTCATAAACCATCTGAAAATGCCATACACTTCTTTTGTCCCATTTTCCTCGGAGAAAATCTAGCAAAGTTAAAACAAATAACACGATCAGTTCATGAAATTGCATAATACAATTTAACCGATAAATTGAAGCAGAGGCAGATTTCCATTTGCACCAAAAGCTTTCCCATAGTTCAATTCCATATTCATGACTTCTATGTCTCATAACCAAACTTTAAATCATGTAAATGAAATCTTGTATGTTACTCCAAATGCTTGAAACAAATTATGTTTCCCAGTCGTTAGAGCAGCGTTGTTATTAATTGTAGTTTAATATTGTTCATTTACTAGTCATCGTCATTGCATCCGTAGGCCATCAATACACTACCTCCCACTCTCACTCAATGTCGGTTGCCTTTCCAAAATAAGACACCCTCACAAAAATGAAATCACGTCCATAAAATTGTGCTGTTCATCTTGGATGCTTTCATCAACTATTCTTACTATATCAGTATAACAAGAACGAGATTTTTGGTTTCCAATTATCAAGATACATTAATGAAACTAATAGCAGCAATAAGAAAAAATTACTGCAAGATTTTTCTTACCAAGTAAACCAATGATCTGTTCACAGACAATTAACATTTGTCATAACAATCAATGTAGTTGAAATTCATGATGCACCCCCCCCCCAAGAGTACCACAGATTATTGGATGATTCAATTCATAATGAAAAATCTCGTGCACTGCTATTTGCTAAACCTTACCAGAGAATATAATGCATAAAACAGACCAACATAAGCACCAATTCTGAAGAACTTAAAAAATTATATCCTCTATCATCTCTTCCTAAGCAACTTTGTAAATCTAAGATTTCAAAGAAGTATCAAATTATAAATATAAACTGTAATGGAGGAGGAATCAAACCTAACAAAAACTCTTGTACCTCACTCCATGGAGACTTTAGCTCCAACCTCTTTCATCTTCAGAATAATCTTCTCAGCTTCCTCTTTAGTGATCCCTTTCTTTAACAAAGTAGGCGCCTTTTCCACCAAATCTTTAGCTTCTTTCAACCCCAAATCTGTAAACCCTCTAACTTCCTTAATAACCTTGATCTTAGTCGCCGCATCGAACCCTTCGAGCTTCACATCGAAAACCATCTTTTCCTCTTTCTTATCTTCCACTTTCCCAGGCCCAGCATCCCCACCTTTCCCGGCCCCTTTCATGGCCCCACCGAATCCCATCCCGGGCATCATCACTGCCATTATCGGCATCTCTTTAATATCCATTTTTTGGCGGAGGACTTCGGTCAAGTCCATGACTTCGAGTAGAGTCAAACCCGAGATTTCATCGACGATTTTGGAGAAATTTTCGGAAGGATCTTGCTTGGTGGGTTGTTTTGATGGGGTGGAATAATTTCGTCTTGGAGCAAGGTTAACGCTGCTCGAAGATTGGATGGATGAGGAAACGATTGGATTTGGAAGAAGCGTTTTATGGATCCGAGTTAAATGAGAGAAAACAAACCGCAAATTTCTCATTCTTTTTTTTTTAAATTTTAATCTGGATGTTCGTTGGTTTGTTCTAGTGAGATCACGGAAGTGCAAAGAAAGAGAAACTCTGAATGTTGCAGAGGGTTTAGGCAGAACTGCATAAGCCCTAGGGCTAAAACGGGTCGGGTCAAACATGGCCTTGAAGTTCAGCCCAAACTCTTCAGCTTAAGAAGGCCAAATTCTGGGTTAGTCCCTATAATATTCTTAAAACTTGATATTTAGTCCTTACATAATTTGGCCCCCCGCCTCTAATTACTTGTATACTGTTATTAGTTAATCCAAATTATTAATATAACTAGTCCTGATAAAGTTATTATATAACTTTTTTTTTCTATAAAAATAGACATGCTTAAAGGTGTTCTTGAAAAAATTAGAGTTAAATAACTTAATTTTTTTATAACAAACTCCTCATCATAAATTTAGCATTAATAATTAACTTTTCTAACAATTTGAACCCACTAATAATATCATAAAAGTAGGAGATCTAATTACATTAAAATTATATGAACTAAATTTGTGAAAACTAAATTTCACCATTGAAAAATAAGCAAAATTTTCAAAGGGAATTATATATCTATAGGATGTAAGCATTTATTGTCAATTGATAAAAAAAAATTTTAACAGATAATATTTTATAATCACCTTGTATTAATAAAAAAGCAAATAAAAAGATTTTCAAGAGAAGTCATGTCTTAATCCGTGCAATACAATAAAAAAATACATAAATCGCTGAAATCAAATTCTATTTTCATGTAAAAGGAGGAAAGCAAACAACATAGAACAGGAGACGATATACAAGGTTTACATCGTAAGCCTATCCACTTGGACTATTAATGAGCATTAACCTTCCTGCAGTTCTTTCTGATCTCACCCTTATAACCTGTCAACGGTGAGATATTTCCCATCTTAACCATGGACTTGGCAAATTGTTCAAAAAAAAGTTCCTGATTGTAAGCGTATTGTTTCACTAACTCCCTTGATATACCATTTTTGGTAAACAGAACTCGGTCAGAGTTCAATAAACCCTTGTCACCCAACAAGTTCTTGAAGTAGCTGTTATCAAACTTCACAGGGCTCACAAAATCTAAGGAAAACAGGTTCTGGTCACCGCCGGATCTCGGACAATCAGTGCACAATCGAGTATTATATGATTGGTCAAGTGTGTAATCTGGTTTTCCATTCCCTGATTGGTTGTAAAGTCTCTGCCTGAAGCTGGTACATCGAGCATTGCCTGTAGTGTGGCTCCCTGCATGAACAAGATGAGGGGGAAATTTGATCATGTTGTTCAAGTTTTGCCTTCTGCTAGAATACCAATCGAGTACTTGGTGAGAATTGTTTGAAATGTGTTGGTTGGAGCAGGGATATTGTTGTTAGAGCCACTCAAGCTTGCACCACTGGAATCCCTTCTTCCAAGAGGGACTTCCCAGTTAGGTCCACTGGTCTGTAAATCCAAAACAAGTTAAAATTCGATGTAATGTTTTGGCTAATTAAAGCATAGGGTGAACTTACAAGAACAGTTGAATCTCTAGCAGCTAGTGCCATGATATCAGCACATGATACTGTGTGAGGACACTCTTTCTCTATTGCAGCTTTGATCCCATCGATGACTTCGAATCCCCTGACCGAATCTCGGTTTGGGTTTGACCTCTTTTCGCTAGTTATGGTCCCACTGCTGTCCAGCAGGATCGATGCAGCACAACCCTATTGAAAAAACAAGATGTTAAGGGTACTAATTACTTTTTGATATACTAAAATCATGTTATATGTAGCAATATATAAAAGCAAGACCTTGACAAAGCAGTCATGGAAGTGTAGCCTAAGCAGCGAGGCAGCAATATATAAAATCATGTTATATGTAGCAATATATAAAAGCAAGACCTTGACAAAACGTGTTTTACAATCTCTCGAGCTTTCGGACACGAGTGGTCGTAAAACTGAGGGTAGAGGTATCCTCCTCCTAATGTGTTGCCGGAGAAACAAAGGGGAGCAATGGAAAGAACAGAAAGAACAGTGATAAAGCCAAAATGAGCCATATTAGTTTCGAAGAGCTTCCTAATTTATTTTTGGCTTTTTACTTAGTTTCTAGACCAAAATCTAGACAATTAAAAGTTAAGGACAGCTGAAATGTGAAGAGAAATGTCCAAAACATGCATATGATGAGAGGAAGCAAGGGATTTATGGGTATTTATAAAGGAGACTTCGTTTGAATGGTCGTCAAAATGATGGAAAGAAGATTAGGTAAACTAGCTTTGCTTTGCATCAATCAAAGAAAAGGGAAGGAAATGTAGAGGTTGGAATTAGTAGCACCACAAGGTACAAGGATGGTCGTGATCAAGTACGGAAACATTATTTTATGTTATGAATGGACTTTAATATTTTTATTTGGGTAAATTTTAAAATTTAAAACGTCGAATACAGATTATTAATAGAAATTACAAAAAAATATATAATTATTTTAAATTTTTAGGATACGTTATTTCTGCTTGTTTCTTTGATACATTATGATCGCGACCGATCCCCATGAAATGTATTAGTTGTAAGCAAACCCCCTTAAAGATAGTAAATGAAGCTGTTGGATTAGTTCATTAGATAACGTAGGCAGAATTTTTTTAATCAAATAATTAATAATATACGAGAAAGAAAGTATTTCAATTAGATATTTGTATATAATGCTTTGCTTAACTTTATATAACATGATTCGGGTATTGATACATAATTAAAACCTATTTTGGACATGGGGCAGGCTTACCTGCTTCGTTGGAAAACAAAGCCAGAACCCTAATGTCAACTCCTTTAGCTAAAAGCATAAATATCCGACCGGTTTGAAGCTGTAGTAATAAAATTTTACAAAGTTTTCACATAATCAATGACTCGGCATGTATGTTTCTAACACTTATGATACGTTTTTCGTAACCCTTGGTTTCAAAAGCAACAATTAGGCAGGACAATCAATTCTTGTACACATGGTTTGTTTGTCAGATGAAGCTATTTTAGAAAATGCCTAATTATAATTCTAATTTTACCTAAAAGGGGAGAAGAAAAATGCTCATGATAGATCTAAAATTCATGACCTAAGAAAAATGTGAGGGAACAAAGAAGCAACTTGAGCAATTAACTAAACAAACTTGCTCATACATTGCTGGGTAAACTATGCGTTTAGTATCTAAACTATCAGTTTTGGTTCTTAAACTTTTAATATTTTCAAAATCATACTTAACATTTAGTTTTTTTTTTCATTTTAGTACCCGTGAAAAACTTAACTTTAAGTTTAAAAAAAATGAAAGTTTAGATGCTAAAACATGAAAAAACTGATAGTTTAGGTACTAAAAGCGTTAAGTTTTTAACGAAAGAGTACTAAAATGAAACAAAAACTAAACGTTAGGCATAATTTTGAAAAAATTAAAATTTAGATACTAAAACGGACCAAAACTTATAATTTAGATAGTAAATTTGTAGTTTACCCTAAATTATTTTTATGTTATTGAAAGATTGTTAAAGAAATAAATAAAAATTTGTTAGTGAAAAAGATGGTTCTAATACAAATCGAAGTCCAAATAAATACACTAGACGTACAAGCAAACCAATTTTTTAAGGGTAAGCTACAACAATAATGATTTAATTATATGATTTTAATTAAACTATTGATCTTCTACTTTATAAATCAAATTATTTAATTATTTAAATGATATTTTTTATTAATTAGAGAGATATTATATTACAAATGTATTACATTACAAAATAAGTCATATGTTATTAACATTTGACATAGGATTGATGTGGTAGTTAAAAATTTGGTATTGTTATACATTCGGTCCTCATTATTTATATATTTTATCAATTTAATTATAATTTTAATTTAATAAAAAATAATTATCTAATTAGATGATGACACATGTTATCATTTGATGAGAATTTCTTTTTAATTTTAATTTATTTAATTAAATATATTTTTTCTCTAATAAAGTAGTGACAAGTGGGATGAAAACTGGATTGCTTTGAGGGAAAGAATAATACCCTAACCACACTGGACCAAATGTACCGTTTGCTCGATAGTTATAACAACTTTTATGTATCTTATTACTTATAATATTATTAGTGACAAAAAAAAAAAGAAAGAAATAAAGAAATAAAGTGATCAAATTAGACTTTAACCTAAATCAATTATGAAATAAAGGAAACCATTAAAACAAATCTAATACCTTTTTTATAATTAAATATATTTTCTATATATATCGTAAATTATAGTTAATATAATATTTAAATTAAAATTGAATTTAAAATTTTTATATTTTGAAATTATATTAAAAAATATTAATTTTAAGGTAAAATGATTATGCGCTTACGGACACTGATACTACCATCCTTATTTGTTTATAGCTTTACAAGTTTATTCTATGTGCGACGTAAGTGAACATTTTTAGCCTGGGTAGGATTGTATAAAATCGCCCGTTCTTTCTTGAGCCTCGCCTGACCAAACTTTCAACTTTTAAGGTTCACACTTTTTGGACCATTTAGTTTTCCCTGATTTAAGTGAAAAAAAAAGTTAGAAAAGAAAGCATAAGTATAGATGTGTCTTGCATGAATCATGCGACTTTAGTGGTTAAGAGATTATTGTTAGCTCTTGAGATCTCGAGTTTGAGCACTATACCGAGAGTATGAACATTTATTGTCAAATGGTTGAGAGTCTTTGAATCAATATTACCTTGTATTTACCCTAAAATTATAAAAAGGGTAAATTACATGTTTAATACCTAAACTATCAGTTTTAGTTCATTTTATTACTTAAACTTTCAATTTTTCAAAACCATACCTAACGTTTATTTTTGTTTCATTTTAGTACCTCACCGTTAAAAACTTACAACAATGCATTTTCATGGGTAAATTATATCATTTATCACTTAACTATCTTTTCACTTCTATTTTGGTACTGAAGTTTAAAAATTTTCAATTTAACTATTTAACCTATTTTAATCACTCTACTTTATTTTATTAATAATTTTGCAACATGACATTTTTATTATTAGTTTACCAATATATAATTAAAATACAACAATAAATTTGAAAGCTAGAGTGATTAAATTAAGAGTAATTTGAAAGTTATGTAATTAAATTAAAAACATTAAACTTTAGTGACCAAAATAGGAGTGAGAAGATAGTTGGGTGATGTGATGCAATTTGCACATAAAAAGGTGCCACATGCAAATAACCTATTAATTTTTTAACGGCGAGCTACTGAAACGAAACAAAAATAAACATTAATTATGATTTCAAAAAATTGAAAGTTTAGGTAATAAAACAGATAAAACTGATAGTCTAAATACTAAATGCGTAATTTATCAAAAAAGAAAAAGAAAAGAATAAATGTTTCTTTCATGCACAAATGCTAAACCAAGATATGAAAAGAGTAAACTACACATGTGACCACTTAACTATTGTTAAATTTCATTTTGACCACCGATGTTTCAATTTAATCAATCAGACCACCAAACTATTTAAATGCTTCAATCAATCAAACCATTATCCGTTAAATTTTAACGGAATAGGTGATGTGATAGTTAAAAACTTTGGTATAATTGCATATTTGGTCCTCAATATTTATACATTCTTTCAATTTGGTAATAATTTAATTCAATTAAAATAAATTTAAGCTCTAATTAGATTGTGATACGTGTCACTATAAGATTGGAGGATATTTTCTTAATTTTAATTTATTTGATTTAATATTTTTCTCTAATAAGGTGGTGACATTTAGGGGATGTTTAAATACTTGTCACCACCTTATAGATGGAAAATAATATAGAAGTTAGAAATACATTGTTGCATTCAAAACCATGACTTAGGGGATGTTTTTTCATGCCTAAACCACTTGGTCACTATAGTTGAAAATACATATTTAAATATTTTATACCTATTTCTGAAAGAAAAAAGGGAAGTCAAAATGCTAACAATGTGAATTGAACCAAGGATACCAACCAAAGAAGTAAACAACTTAATCATTAAGCCAAATCATATATTTGATACCTTATTACAACATGTTTTATGTAACGCCCCAAATCTCGAGTTAGAAGTCTGGGCTAACTCGAGAGGGCCTTAGATTAAATTCATTAGCTTGTGAGAAGGCTTGTTCTAATTTGGATTTAGTTTGGGCTTGGTTTGAGGCCAACATGAGATAAAAAGGGTATTTTTATCTTAGGGCAAAAGAGGAAGGACTAAGGGAGTAAATATCCCATTTTTGAAACAAAAGTTGAATCACATTTATTTTGGGTGATCTCACATCTGGGCATCTATTTTTCTTAATTTTCCTTTGTTCTTCTTCCTCTTCCTTTATCTTTCATTCTTTCCCCCACAAAATGCAATAAAGGGGTTAACTTTGCTAGACATTCATTTCATTTATGAGATTTTAAGGTAAGAAATGGAACCTCTATCTCCTAATCTTTCATTCAAGCCTTGAATATCAAGTTTTGGCCTTGGTGACAAGAAAATGAATTTTGTAGGGTTTTAAGAAACTTTGAGCAAATCAGCTCGTTTTTAGTGGGTTTAAGTGTTAGATCTCTTTTTAAGCTTCTAAACAAGTTAGTAATCCATCTCATTCATTCTTGCATAGTGAAAGAAGGAGGAGAAAACTACAAGACAAAAGGTAAGAAGAAGAAGTTGACTCTTCGTTGAGTTGAGGACATTTTCCAGTAGCTTACGAGTTAAGATAACACATTCAAAACTTCTTCATACCATTTGTGAGCCATTATATGCATCTAGCTGGTGTGTATTGAGTTTTTGAAGCATAATGAACATCCATAGTAAATATCAGCTAAAGATGTAAATCAACATATTGGCTTATCATGACCCCTATTAATATACATAAGAATTAAATAACATTTGGGAACCTCAGTGGGGATTTTGGAAGAATTGGGAGTCTTTTTCATACCCAAACAAGGCAATTCTGGGTTTGAGTATCAGTACTAGAAGAACTAGAAGAATAGTACCGATATCATGCCTCTAATAGATTAAGATAAGAGGATTTTGGGCTAGGAGTATC